CAAAAAAACCAAAAGGATACAAATAGTCAACTGACTTTTGACAGTAGTGAAAAGACAATTAAATGGAGAAAGGACAGTCTTTTCAACAAATGGTGCTGGGACATTTGAACATCCACATGCCAAATGACCTATACCTCACACCTTATGCAAAAATTAACTCAAAATGGATCATAGAAAATGTTCCGGAAATGGATAGTGGTGATGGTTGTACAACATTGTGAATATACTTGATGTCACTGAATTGTCCTCTTAGAAGAGTTAAAGGAGGGGCAGCCCCAGTGGCCTAGTGGTTAAGTACAGTGTGCTGCACTTCAGCGGCCCAGGTTCAGTTCCCAGGCGCGGGCCTACACCACTCTGTAGTGACCATGCTGTGCTGGCCGCCTGCGTACTAGAAAATAGAGGAAGATTGGCGTGGATGTTAGCTCAGGGAAAATATTACTCAGCAAAAAAAAAGAGTTAAATGGTAAACTTTGTGACAGTATAGATTACCAGAATAAAAAAAATCTTTTACTGGATCACAGACCTAAATGTAAAAGCTATAACTATAAAACTTCTAGAATAAAACATAGGAGAAAATCTACATGACCTTGGGTTAGGCAGAGAGTTTAGATATGACACCAAAAACATGATCCATAAAAGAAAAACATTGATAACTTTGATAAAATTTTACTTTATCAAAATTAAAATTTGTACTCTATGCAAGACACTGTCAAGAGTAAGAAACCTAACCAGAGACTGAGAGAAAATATTTGCAAATCACATTTCTGACAAGGGACCTTATATCCAAAATATATCAAGAACGTTCAAACCCAATAGGAAAATAAACAACCCAATCTAAAATAGGCAAAAAATCTAAACAGTGAAGAAGACAGGATATGAATGGCAAATAAACATATGAAAGTATGCTCAACATCATCAGTCATTAGGGAAATGCAAATTGAAACCACCTTGAAATACCACTACACACTTATTAGAATGGCAAAACAAAAACAAAACCAGCAATATCAAGTGTTGGCAAGAACATGGAGCAGCTGATGCTTTCATCTGTTCCCAGTGGGAATTCAGAATGGATTCTGAATTCAACAACTTGCTGGCTCACTACAAGGTTAAGCATACATCTGCTATATAACCCATCAATTTCACTCCCTAGGTGTTTACTCAAGAGCAATGAGAACTTATATTTACACAAAACCTGTGTAAGATTGTTTATAACTGCTTTATTCACAATCACAAGAGAGAGAAAATATGAAGATGTCTTTTGGCAGGCAAATGGATAAAGTGTGGTACATCCCTACAATGGAATATTACTCTTCAACAAACTCTAGCTACTGCTTCATGCAATAACATGGATCAATCTTCAATGCATTTTGCTAAGTGAAAGAAACCAGACCCCAAAAAACTAGACTTTATATGCTTTCATTTCTGTGACTCTGGAAAAGGTGAGACTACAAGGATGGAAAATGAAACAGTGATTGCCAGGGGTTAGGGTGGGGGATAGGGTTAATCATAAAGGGGAAGCATGAGGGAAGTTTTAGGGTGATGGAACTATTTTGAATGGAACCATGGTGGTGGATACATGACTCCATGCATTTGTCAAAACCTATAGAATGTGCACCACAGAGAGTGATGTTACTGTTTGTAAATTCAATAAAATCAACCAGGAAATGGGAGGAAGATGAATGCAGACTGTGACAAAGGAATCCATTTACAAATGAGTCAGCTAACCACATTGAAGGGGATGGGAAGAAAGAGTTGACCTAAAGAATGGGAGAAAATTGTTTTGACTGGACACCATAAGGAGAAATACACACACGAAACTATATACTAACAAACAGTGTACTCTAGGTGGTAAATTTGTTTCCAGGGATGTGGTTTAGCAATTCAGAAACTACTTTATATGTATACTAGAGGTGAACAAATAAGTAAATATATTGTAGAAAATGAGAGCCGAGTTTCTTGAGGAGAAGAAAATGACCAACGTGCAAAGGAGGAAGGCATAAATCTCCTGTGGTGCTGGACTCGAGTCAGAGCTATCAGTATGCACTCATGGTTTTTGTTTAATATATATACAGATAGATGGATATAGAAATAAACATAGATGTGTGTTATGCATGGGTTAGTATACATATATACATAGATTTCCTAGCTCTATCCACTGGAAGGGACTAGAAGCAGTGACCACCCAATGGTGATGAGCATGCCAGCGCCCAGATCCAGGTTCCCATTCTCCTTGGAAAAGTGGTTGATTCTTGTGGTACCAGAAAAGAAGGAAGGGATCAAAAAATAAAAAGAGGAGTACGCATGTCGAAAGGGCACAGGAGCCAACCTGAATGAGCTCCCCTAACCAAATTTGGAAGTTGAACAGCAAAATAAATGATAGTATTGTGACCTAAAAAATAAAATGAACATCCATGAGTCCCTCATTAATATAAACAAGTGAATAAATCAACGAATGGGGGAAAGGGACCACTTTCTCCTACAGAGGAATTCCAATGAACAAATGTAGAAGGGAAATAGAAAATCACCTGTAGAGCACCACGGTAATCATTGTTGAGGCAAGACCCATCAATGGATGCTAAAATTAGTGAGCAAAAAGCTTAAACAGAAATAGGATATTTGCATAGAGTATCTTCTCCAAAATATGTATTCATTACAAAGGGGAAAATAGTAACTTTACAGTAGAGAAACCTGGCAGGTACCACCTTGACCAAGCGATCAATGTCATACTTATCACCATCGAGTATTCCCAATATGCATCGAGAAGGGCACAGCAGCTCTGGTACCCTTCCCAATACTCATGACAAAACATCAGACGAACCCAAACTGAGGGGCATTCTACAAAATATCTGACCAGTACTCCTCAAAAGTGTCAAGGTCATGAAAGACTGAAGAAATGTCATAGACCGGAAGATTCTACCAGACATGATAAACAGTGCCACGTGGGATCCTGGAACAAAGAATGGACATCAGTGGAAAAACTGGTAAAATACAGTCCATAGTTTAGTCAGTAGTACTGTACCAGGGTTAATTTCTTAGTTTTGATCATTTTTCCTATGGTTATGTAAGAAGTTAAGATAAGGGGGATTTGGGTGAAGAGTATATGGGAACTCTACTATTTCTGTAACTCTTCTGTAATCTAAAATTATTTCAAAATAAAAACTTTTGTTAAAAAAAGGATACCCTTCAGTAATAGAGAAAATTTTAAAATAATAATATATAAAAAGAAGTTGTAGATATTACATGGCATGATTTTTTAAAAAGATATGAAAATTTTAAAATTATGATTCTTGAAAATTTTTATTTCTCTAGAATTGGCTCTTTGTGCAAAAAAAAAAAAAAAATTCCTGTCCGCCATTTAAAAAAAGCTCTGATTAAATCACACTCCTATTCAATAATCTTCAGTGCATCTTTATTGCCTTTTAATTGCCTTTGAAACCATCCCTGAAATTGCTCTGGTCCTTGTGGCCTCCCTTTTCCATGTTACCCTTTGCACCCCTTACTCCCCCAAATCCACTTTGGGCTCTGCTGCCTTCCTTTATCCTGCATTCCCAGAGATGCCTTTTCCCAAGGCTCTACTAGTCTAGAGCCCATGGACGCTCCCCAGCATGGAGAAACCTCACCCTCCCTTGAACTTGCGGAGAATCTCCCTCATGACCCTTATCAATTTCCAGAACTGCCCTTAAACCCTGGTGAGCGGTGCCTCTGCCTGGTAGCTATTTGGAATGCCTTCCTCCCAGTTTTCTAATTCTTTGTACCTGAGACCACATGGTGCTGGCCAGGTGGAGCACCCAGAGCTTAGACCAGGACCTACCTACACTCTGGTCCCCATTTCTCTCCTTTAAGGACACTTTCTTAGCCTCTGCGCCAGCATGGGGTCGACCAGATGTCCCAAGGGTCTCCAGGACTTGTTTCTACCAAGTCAACCTAGGTCATGATCACTCCCTCTGGCCTGTGCAGTATTTCTTTCAAGGACCCACATGAGACTGGACCACTAGAATGGTGTTGCCATTCTGATTTAGGGTGATTCAAATTGTTTATATGAACAGGAAGGCTTTGCCAAAAATATTTGCCCAAGACCCTCACATCCTAGAGGTGGCCCTGTCAACTTCTATCTTGTATTATACGTGCCTTGAAAGGTCCATGTCTTAATCATGTCTGCATCCCCTCCCCTATACTGGTGCCTAACTTAGTGCCTTCTACTTCGCAGATGCTGCATAAGTAGTTTTCAGAATAAATGCCTGAAGGAATGAGTGACGTCTCAGATTTGCATATTTCTTTTGATCCAGGGTTCGAACTATATTTTCCCTACACAAATGTCTAGATCTTCATCATCTGTCTGCTTGGCAAAGAAGGATTTTCATGTCCCCAAGCCCTCTAGTCACTGACCTGACTGTTGATGAGCTGAAAGCTTATCGAGAAGGAACAGCACGCCTCCAGATTCTCTTGACAATAAACTGCAAATGAACTTTAAGTCCAGAACATGTGAGAATGGCCAAGCGTGGGAACGATGATCGAATGGCTTCAAGTTAGGCAGCCCAGTCGTTGGGATTGAACAATGCTTTGGCTGCAGCAAATTGTAGTGATCGAACATATGTTTGTCGTTCTTTGCTTTTGATCTTCTGCTCCAAGGTTGAGGATACTCTCCCAAGGGGGAAAGGAAAAAGGAAGAAGCTGGGTAGGAGAAAACTGACTTCACCCATCACTGAAATATTTCGTACCCGAAACACAACCACCTTGAGAGAAGAACATGGTGGTGGCTCTTCACAGTCACCTGATTAAGGGGCTTGGGTTTGGTCCTGACTCAGAGGGAAACACAACACCACTGAGAGGCCCCCCCACAGCACCTGCACACGCACAGCCAAGCCTGAGCTTGGCCCCAGGGGACATATGAGAAAAGATGACTGCCAGAGCCACCAAGAGGGTGGGAGACTTGCTGTTGCCAGGTCCACCCAGATGGATCACAATGACTGTGTGAGGTCATGGAATGTTGAAAGTGAAATGAAAGTGGCTCCTAAGTCACAAAGTCACAGGCGGGTGGGCATCCTTTCAACAGGGCTCCCAGGAATAGAGCTGTGCCACTCTCCCTGATGATCCTGGGAAGTAGCTACCTCTCCCAGATGGAGTTGGGGTCCAATCCATGCATGTCCAATTCCCAGCGAAGCCCACTCTCCCCAGGGCTGGCTGGGATGGAAGGATAACTACAGGCCCCCGTGGGATTTGTCTATGTGAGGGCAGGGTGTACAAGGTTTGAGACAGTGGTAAAAGGACAGGTGTGCTTCTTAAGGAAGCAGCAGAAAGGTGGCAAGAAGCTGGCAGCAGCCCCCGAGAGGGCCCTGGCACCATGGACGATGAGGAACCTCTTGAGCCTGAGACACAAGGTGAAAAGGCATCCCATCTCTCACCATTCAGGCCCTGCTGGGCTGCCTCAGCACACCATCCAGGGACCACGGGGACCCTGAAGCCCCCTTCCCTCCCCACCTGGGACCCTCTAGAATTGAGATGATGTGTTGCCTTGACTTGCCCTCAGGGCTTGCCAGACAGGGAGTGAGAGAGTCGGATGCAACGCTGTGCTGGAATTGGCTCATACCAGCTCTAGGCGACTTAAATTTTCATTTTGTGAGCTAGAGGATGTCACGTTGGTAGTTTGAAGTCAGCCATGTTGGGAATACTTACACCGCCTGAATTGGCTAACACTACAAATCAGGATTTTTTTTTTCCTTTGGTCTGGAGAGCCAGTTAAACATTTGCCAACACCCCACTGGTTGGATGGAATTCTAAAGTTGTTTGGCTAATGAGGAAATTAAGATTCAGAAAGTCATCACTTTTGGATGTGAAGTTTGACGGCTACACAGCTGTATGTCTTCCCTGGGTGGTCAAAATTTGGGACCCCCGCCACGAATGCCCAGCCCACCCACAGAGCAAGTTGGCTAAGTTCTGAAAGGTCCAGTGGCAGAAAAACCACATCTAGCAAGTGCAGGGGGCTGGTGTGAGGGAAGCTCAGGACACATGTGTTTAATCATAGCCATTGATTTCCACCCCAGGGAGATTCTGCAAGCTCTTCCTTCTGTGTGGGCATAAATGTCGAACTGGAAGGAAGAGAAGCTAGGTCAAATTCTTAGCTATCAAGTCATCCCTCTTGCTCCTGGACTGCTCCTGCTCTGTTTTATTTTACATTTGATCCAAGTCACCTGCCCTGCCCTGCCCCTCGCCCTCCCCAGCATCATTTGTGCCCGCCATTGAGGAAGCCTAGGCATTGGTGCCTATTCTTTCCCCAAAAGAGTAAAGTAGACCCTGAACCCCACCAGAGCCATAAAGGAGAAAAAAAGGGCGCAAGGAGCCAGTCTTTGAGGCAGGCCCAAAACGGGGAAGGGGGCAGGAGCAGCGAGTCTCCAGAGAACACGGGGGGTTATTAGCACAAGACCCCCCAGACCATTCAGCTGGGAGGCAGCACCGTGTTGGGGAGCGAGTGCTTGTAGAATGGAGTCCCCCCACAGGACTTATACACCCTGCGGTTCCCCAACACCTGGAGCCACGTGAGGCTGGGGGACAAAGACTGCACCCAGGTTCTGGGTGGCAGAGGAGGGGAATAGAGAGAGAGGGAAGCCGGCAGTGGGCTCCACCTGAAAGGCTGGCAGGTTTCATTTCCAGAATCAAGGAGATGAGTTTTTCTTCCAGATGAGACTGAAACAGTGGCAGCATCAGAGAACAGTGACGAAACACTCTACTGTGAGGCCGAAGCCACCCCGGCTGTCGAAAAAGAGAAACCAACCCACGAGAGTTCAGAAACAGACCTTGAGATGGAAGGTGAGGCTGGGGCTGGGGGCTGGCCTCCTTCCTCAGAAGCCAGAGACATCTGGTTTCCCCAGTGGGCCGTGGCGCTGCCTGGCGGGACATCCTGCGGAGGGAAGGTGGCAGAAATGCCTGTGCTCAATTTTACGCCATTCCCTCCTCAAAGCTAGCCTGGAGGCAGCAGCTGCAGCTGCCCCATGCTCGTGTCCTGCCTCCTGTGCAGAGCGGCCACATCAGCTTGATGAAAGCTGAACCAATCAATGCACAGGGATTTCTGGTTTTCGAAACGTTTCCACACGTGGCATCTTCTGTCACCTTTGCAATAGTCCCAGGAGGTAGACATCATTCCCTGCCTTTTACAGAGGAGGAAACTGAGGCTTATAGAGATTGCATGAGTTGCCCAAAGCCACGGAGAGCTTGCCAATGTTTGCTGAGCCTGTGTTCGCCCCACCCTGCCAGTCTGCCTTCCACATTCCATAGACCAGGGGCCCTGGAGTGTTTGTAGCCCATCTTGCATCCCAGCGACTTTCCTCTACTCACACTGAAGTTCTTGCTTCCCCTACTTGAGAGCCCTATGTTTTCCCTCGAGGAATCCAAGCTGCCTGGGTGCGTGGGGGCGCAGGCTGAGCTGCCGCAAAGACTCCTTGTTGCAAACACCTCTCCACCCTCTTCTCCCTCCCAGTTTCCCCAGGGAGGAAAGTGCCCAAAAAACCACTGAAGTACGGCACGAACAACACTGGCTCCACCTAATGGGCCAGCCTCAAACTTCCCAGGCTGAGGCTAGCCCAGGGGCCCTCCCTCTCCTGTGTCCTGATGGCTGCCCGGTGGGCTCTACCGAATTCAACTGGGAAGCTCCTCTGCACGGTCAGCTCAGGTCAACACACAACTGCACCCTCCACACCAACCTCCCCTCCGCCACCCCCAGCAGCTTGTTGCTCTTTTTCTGATTTCTTTTCCGCTTCAAGTCTGCTGCTAATGTCACTTTCAACATGGAATTGCACCTGGTTGCCGGAGGTGGCAGATAGGAACGCTGGATGTTTTGTCCCAGGCTCCTGCATCTATCTCATTCCCCCTCCCCACCTCCGCTCGTTGCAAGTGATAACGCAGCAGTTGCAAGCTGCCTCTAAAATGTAACCACAGGGAATACAGCTCGACAGGGTCTGCAGCCTCAGAGCAGCTTTTGCACCAAGACAAAGCTGGGGGCGATCTACCCTGCTTTGGCAAATGGGAACCTCCAATGACTGAATTTGGCACCAACAACTCTGTGCGGGGACAGAAACCCGGGACTCAGCTGCTCTGGCTCCTAGTGGCCCTGCAGCTGGTGCTGAGAGGCTGGGAATGGGGCAGGAAGGGCTTTCTGGAATGGCCTGAGACATAAGCCGGGTTGGGAACAGCAAGCTGGTGGTGAGGGGACAGTAGAGTGAGAGAAGCCGAAAGTGGTCCCTCACTGTGTGCTGTTTTTCCTACACAGCAGTGGTTCTCACTTGGAAGCGATTTTGCACCACAGGGGACATTTGGCAAACTGGCGAGGGGCGGTGGGGGTAGGATGCTACTGAGATCTCGTGGGTAGAGGCCAGGAATGCCACTCAATCTCCTACACTGTGCAAGACAGCCCCTCCCAACAGAGAACCATCCAACTTAAAACGTCCACGGCGCTGAGGCTGAGAATCCGTGCTCTACAACTGTCCCAAAGAGAAGCCACTTTGTAGCTGTGCCTGCAGAATCAACTTCCTCATCAAGTTGTTGTCCTTTCGCCAACAAAGCTCTCACTGTCTGCCGTGGAAATGTTTGGGGTGGGCTGGCCAAAGGGCTCCAAAAGAAAAACAGATGCAGGCTTAGATCCCAGCTGGCCATGGGAAGCCCTGCCATCGACGGGGCTTGCTTCATGAGGACACAGCTGCGGGGCAGCCAGAATCCAGGGAGGCCCACTGCCCGTTGACCACCAGCCAGGCGGATCTAAGGCCCAAGGGACAAAGGCCCCGAGGGGTTGGAATGGAGAGGCAAAGTCCTTCATTCTGTCCGCTGGTTTCAGCGCTGATCAGCTGTTTGTAATCTTGGGCTAGATATGTCATTGATAAAGTAGAGATGACAGTCCTTTTTGTTAGGAAAAACGAAATTCAGGTCTTTGAGAAAGGAAAGCCCACTCCAACGCAAGTTCCTTTGTTTCCGACTGATTTGGGGGTCTCTATCTCGCACTGATTTGTCACCTTGGGAAGCCTGCTCTGTCCCACATGGGCTTTTTTATAAATTGATGCTTCTTTAAATCTTTAGTAAAGCTTTATTCATGGTTCACAACAGTTTAACAGTGGTAGTAAAACTAAAGCTGAAATGGAGACTCCCTCGACGATCGCATATCATCAGCTTTTTGTCCGTTTGGCCTTTCAGAGCTGGCCCAAGGTGGGCTAGAGAGCAGGGCCTTCACACAACCTGATGATCAGGCTAACCCGGGAAGGCGGGCATTGGGCACACTCTTCTTCTCCCAGGACAGCTTGGGGCCTAAAACCAGGGGCCTTATCTCTTACCTAAAGGGAAATGTTCATTTGGGGCTTTCTAGGGTTCAGATCTCCCTCTCCCACCACTGGCTGACTTCCCAATTGGAGTTGCCGTCCGGGCCATACACCCATAGGGAAAGATTCTCAGGCAGAGGGGACACCAGTCTGAAGCACACGTGGCCTGGAGTTAGAGGGGAGATAAAGCAAAGGTAGAAGGGAAACCCTACTTCATCCACTTTCATATTTCTCTGCAGATACTGAGAAATTTTTCACCACTGGACAAAAGGAGCTGTACCTGGAGGCCTGCAAACTGGTGGGTGTAGTGCCTGTCTCCTACTTCATCCGGAACATGGAGGAGTCCTATGTGAACCTCAACCACCATGGGCTGGGCCCCAGGGGTACCAAGGCTATTGCGATTGCCCTGGTGGTGAGCATCCTAGTGGGAGCCCATGAAGCTTGGCAGAGGTGGGGGGTTGATAGGGTGGTGGGCCCAAGAGTCAGTGAGCCCCCTAATGGGACCCTAAATTGAAACTTTTATGCCCACCTTGCCCTAGACTCTGCTTGACTGCCGGTTGATTTCCCCAACCAGATGGATGCCCCATTAGCTCCTGGGAAGCAGGCTGCTAGAGATCTGGGCCTTGGAACTCTATGCGCTTCCTAGGCAGGAAGCAAAGGCACCAGCCTGTGGGCCCCAGAAAAGTGACTGGGCTGGGCTTGGGCCCAAATGCTAATGTGAGAACACAGTCCAAAATGTCAGCCTGGGTCTCGATTCCAAAGCTTACCTTTGCCATAAATGGGTTCACTACTGAGCCATTCCATTCAGTGTCTGCCTTTTGAACGTCATAATTCTTAAAGATCATCCTGCAGAGTGGATCATGTTTTCCCACAGGAGTAACATTCCCTCTCTCTCTGCTTGGCATGAGCGAACAAGGACTTGACCTTGAATTCGTCACAGCTTTATGTAATTAGAATGGAGTATATACAAAACTGACTGCCATCCCAGGAAAACAGAAAATGTAACAACTGTGTGTCAGCACTACACTCTTGGTTCACTTAGGATGGTAAAGAGAAAGTTCGATTGAAAAAAAAAGCACTCCCTCATTTCTGGATATATAGCAGCATTTGCATTTAACACATGCCTGTTAAGAAGTATGCTGCTTTCTAGGGAGGGGGAGGGGAGGCAGGGAAGAGAAGATAGAGAACAAAGCCATCTTGAAATTTATGGAGCTGTTGAAAGGCTGATTAATGAAGTGTTAGGAAGGCGCCATTACCTCATGAGTTTTATGGAAAAAAATGGATAATAATGAAACCCTCTCAAGACTTGGGCCTCTTGTTTCTTAGTAACAGCAGTTTCTGTTTGGGGGCGTTTTCTCTTCTTGATTCTCTGCATCACTCATTCGACGGTTAATCACTGTGCCATTCTGGTGGACTGAACTTTATTTATCTTTCGTACTGTTTAACTGTTTACATGTTGCATTTCCCGGGCTTGGATTAAACGCACCCTCATGGTAGGGATCCTATTTTGTCCTCTCCACATCTGTCCGTCACCTGCCTATCTCCATGCCCTCGCACTTGGTGGGGCGCGGGCCCCTGGAGAGCAGGGATGTTCTCGGTTCACCCTCGTTCCCCAGCAGTTAGTACAGAGGGTGACAAAGAGATCCTGGCCTGTGCGAAATGAATGTGGATGGACTGGGTGATCGGGCCCCCACTGTGCCACGCACTGTGCTGGTCCCCAGCGTGACTCTGGAAGCGAGCATTCAACTCACATTTCTGGACACTGCTAAATGACACCTAGACTGGGAGACACTTGAGCCATCTCCCTTGCCTTCGAGCATGACGGAATTTTGCCCGCCCCGAGAGCCGAGATCGGAAGACTTGTCAGTGAAGGCCGTCGGTGGGCCATTTTGCACTGCAGTAGCTTGAGCTACCCCCTTTGCGCTGTTCCTGGACCTAGAGTTCCTGACCGCCTGCTGCTTCTCTCACTGCTTGGTGCTCTTGGAAAATGCTCAGACCCAAAGATGTGTCTGTTCTCTGTGCCTGTCTATACTGGGAACCAGGTGGAGAAGGGAAAGATAAAAGTGCTGGTTAGAGCTAACCCCAGTGCCTCACGCTGCAAGTCGTTTCCCCTCGTCTTGCTCCCTGTGGGAACGCAGACAAGCTTCGAGGTGGATATTTATCTAAGATTTAATTAAGTCCAGTTCCTTCTAAACAGCCTTGAGCCAACATCCTGACTAAAAGAGAGTGGCAGATAAGCCTGAAGCCTAAAGCAGAAGAAAGGCCTCTGAAGGAAGCAGGCACAGTCAATCCTTTATGCTTAAATACTTCTATTAAATGTGTCAAGTTCTTCTTAATTTTGGAGCCAGTCACAGGCCTCTCTCCTCGAGACTGAATAGTTAATGTCTAATAGTTAATATCTGTTCAGCTCATCCTTGTGCCACTTACTTTTCAGGGCTTTAATTATTTTAATGTCCCTCTTCTAAATTCCCCTGGGGACCCTGGGGAGCCCCCTTTGGCGGAGGTGCCCGGAATAAGCATATTGTCCAAGCAAAACTCTGGGGGGATGGATCGTCCCTGTGTTTCTCTCCGGTTCCTACCCACTCCTCCAGAATTGGCAGTCTGCATCTCCACACCCCTTGAAAGGGCTGGGATGTTCCAGAAAGGGGACAGGTTCTGGGCAAGGGCAGGGAACTGACTGGGTCACCAACTACCTCTGCCTTCCTCCCCCTCCCCGTGGTGGCTGAAGTCCAACACGGCTGTGATGACCCTGGAGCTGGAAGACAACTGTATCATGGCGGAGGGCATCGTGAGCCTGACGCAGATGCTGCGAGAGAACTACTACCTCCAGGAGCTGGTAGGGCGCCCTGCCCCGCTGGTCCCAGCGCCACCCCCGGGGGCTCCGAACGCCCTCGAGACAAGCGAGAGGCCCCTAGGCTTTCTGCAGTCAGTCTGGGGACTTCTCAGAGGAGAGCCACGCATCAGAGGCTGGCAGGGGGACTGTGTTCCCTGTGGCTGTAGGAAACCCTAAGAAACCGTTTCTCTCTGGACCTCTAAGCCCCTAGGTGGATAAACTTACTTATGTAAGTTTTTCACTTAAAAAGTGAACTTTCTTAAAGAAAATAAAGACATGAAATAATTTCATAAAATACAGTGTGCTAGAGATGGCAATGATGGTTGCGCAATAATATGGATACGCTTAAAACGACTGGACTGTACGCTTAAAAGTGGTTAAGACGGTAAATGCGTTATGTCTATTTTGCCACAATAAAAAAAATTTGAAAAAAAGGGGAAAAACAATAAAGATAAGAATGGCTGGTTCATATAAAGGCCCTCCCACCAGCCTGAAAGGACCGTGTCCTTTTATATCCCTACTTGTCCCTGGCACAGAGAGTCATGCTTCACGGATCAATGAATGGAATTTACAATTATGATTTACTCTAAACAAATTTTTCAATTGCTTTATGCCGAACTCTCCAGAAAAAGCTGTCCTGGGTTTCGGAAAACATTTACAATGTGCTTATCTAAAGTACTAGGACTAAGTTGGGGCAGTGGGGGTCACTGAGGCTCAAAGGAAACTGAGACCCGTCCGAGGGCCCCACAGCGAGGCATTAGAAAGGCCCATTCTCCTGCCTCCCTTCTCTCCTTTGCACCCTGGGATCCTTCCCGTCCTCGAAGCCCACCCCCTCTCCCCAGCCCCACCATACTCCCTGGGTGCAGGCCTCAAGTAAGCCCCGCCCTGACATCATCTGTTAATAAGGGCCCTTTGGTGGGATTTCTACATGCATAAGTGTTTTCTTGCCTTTTAGAATCTTTCCGACAATGATCTTGGTTTGGAGGGGGCCAGAATCATCTCAGAATTTCTCCAGAGAAATACGTCTTCACTCTCGAACCTTCAGCTTTCAGGTAAGTCCGTGGAAGAGGAGGGAGAGGACGCCAGAGCGACAGGAGAGAAGGGGAAGAGCAGAGGGCGTCCGGCCGAATTGAACCTAGACCAGGTCTTTGTGATTTCAGAGACCCGAACACTGCGTCTGTACCCTGCTAAACCCTTCCAGTCGTCCTTGCCCCCTCTCCATGGCCACACTGGCTTCCCGGCTTTCCTGAACAAGCGACTTCTGACTCCCTTTGCAGAGAGTCTGTACCCCAGATTTCTGCCTGGCTCGCTCTCCTGCTTCATTACGTCTCTGCTCAAACGTCATCTCCTTAGGGGGAACTTCCTGACCACCCTGTCAAAGCAGCATCTCTCATCATCATCACTATAGTTTCCCTTCTTGGTTTTTCTTAGAGCCATTTATTGTTCCCTGACCCCCTATTGTACACCTGAATTTTAATTAGTTTATTATCTGTCTCACAGAAAAAAGTCACTTGAGAATTCTAGTACGCACAGACATGCTCTCACTCGGGTTTGAGATTTGAATTTATACTCTCTGCAGGGTCCTGGAACCCTTAAGGCAAGACATTAACATAAAAAGTGGTCCTATGCTGGCAATGTCCTGGGACATGCGACAGAAACAATCATAAAACCTCTTTGGAGGAACAAGCCCTCGACCCAGGCTCCAGGCTACTTGGGACTCCCACAGATAAAGCTCCACCAAAGATGGGCTCACAGTCCAAACTGCAAAACAAGGAAATAAAGCACCGTGAGAGGGGCCGGCCCTGTGACCGAGCAGTTAAGTTCACGCACTCCGCTTCAGTGGCCGAGGGCTTCACTGGTTCGGATTCTGGGTGCGGACATGGCACCGCTCGTCAGGCCATGCTGAGGCGTTGTCCCACATGCCACAACTAGAAGGACCCACAACTAAAAATATGCAGCTATGTACTGGGGGGCTTCGAGGAGAAAAAGGAAAAATGAAATCTTTAAAAAAAAAAAAATTAAAAACAAACAAAAAAAACACCATGAGAGTTGCCAGACTCAACAAGTGGCAGCCTCGGACTCTCAAGAGCTTCAGAAAATAGAATTAACAGATGTAGATTATACATTGAATGACCATATAGTTTATCCTCCAAACTGCATAGGAACACCGTTAATTAACTGATACTGCAAGCAAACAGAGATCTTGCACCCAACTATAAACTATGTTTAATGTGACTAAGAACATAAAAAAGAAAAACATACAAGAACAAACCATTGTTTTTAAAAAGACTCCCCCAAAATAGAACTTCTAGAAATGAAAAATATATACTCATTGACATAAAGACTCAATGGACAAATTCAACAGTATATTAGATGCAGCTGAATGAAATTAGTGACCTGGAAGATAGATAAAAGCATATTATCTATCTTGGCAATATGGAAAGATAAAGATACAGAGAATTTAAAAGATGAAAGAATATAAGAGAATGAATAGACCCAAGATAGCTAGCAGGAGTTTCAGAAGAAGACGAGAATGGGTGAGCAACAACATTTGAATAAATTGTAGCTGACATGTTTCCTGAATTGCTGAATTCTCAGATATAGGAATCCTAGTAAGTCCTAAGTAAGGGAAATAAAAAGAAACCCACACCTGAGTATATCATAGTAAAAACACTTAAGATAAAAAAATCTTAAAAGTATCCAGAGAAAAAATACAGAAATAGAGTTGATGTATTTTTTAGTATAAAACTTACTGCATGTCAGACATTATTCACCAATTTCCCTTTTTTCACTGTAAGTATATCTTGGATTTCTTTCTATGACTGAACAAATAGATATATCTCATTCTCTTGAACTCCTCGGTAGTATTCTGTGATTGGATGTAGTGGTATAGTTCATCTAACATCCCCCTGTTTGGGGGTGGGGCACAGGTAGGTCATTTCCAGTTTTTCAATCTTTCAAATAATTTTAAAAGAACTTTCTGGTACATGCATCTTTGGGGCACATGTTCTAGTCTTTCTAGATAGACACTCAAGAGCAGAATTACTGAATATAAAGATATACTCATTTTTGTGAAGTTAAAAATTTATTTCCAAATTTCCCTTTAAGAAGACTGGACCAGGTCACAATTCCACCAATGGAATATGTTTCCCTGTACCATTGCCAGAAGGGTTATTAGCAAGTTATTGGTGAATCAGAATGGTTGTGTGTGTGGTTGTTGAAGTTACAGTACTGGAATTCAAATCCCAGTTTTGACACTGGGCAAGAAATTTACCCCTTCTGTGACTTATTTTTCTCATTTATAAACTAGGAGGATTATATTACCCAGCCTCAGACAGTGATTGTGAGGATTAAGTGAATTAAAATCTGTAATACCTAGAACAGTCCTAGGATACAAGTATTCAATAAAAGTTCACTACTATTATTTTTGTTACATTCCCACATTATTGTTGAAGTAGAACATCTTGTCAGATGCTTATTTCCATTTTGATTTCCTCTTCCATGAAATGTCAATTGTTATATGGGGTTGTTTGTATTCTTGAATGTTAGGCACTCTTTATATATTACAGATCTCCATACTTGAATGTTATATAACATAATCATATTATAATAATAATAATATAATATAATAATATGATCAAATATTATATTCTCAAAACTGATAGCCAGGTGCCCCAGCACCATTAATTGAATAATCTATCTTTTACTGACTAATTTGAAATGTCACCTTTATAATATATTAAACTCTGATATAAATATTGGTTTCTTTCTAGATTCTCTTTTCCATTTCATTAATCTATTTGTCTGTCTGTCTATGACAGACAAATAAATGTCTATTTGTCCATTAATATTTGTTTAGAATATTAAAATAATATGCTATGTTATAATATAATTAGTTGTAACTAATAAAACATATCAAGTATATAATATTAATATGCTAGTTATGTAATTATATGATGTGGCACGATATGTTGTACATCTGAGTAGGCAAAGTCTGGCTTTCTTTTTCAAAGTCATCTTGGCTGTTCTTATGCAGTTTCTCCTCCAGTTGAATTTTAGATTCATTTTGTCAAGTTCCATTAAAAAAAGCCAGGCATTGGTCCAGGGGTTGAGGCTGCCAATGGATGTGCAGGGTGTGATGTACCAGCTCCTGGAACTCCCTGGACAGTCATGGCAGAGAGAGAAGGAACATTAAAGGGGATGGTAAATGGTGGCCCCTCTTTCTCCTGTTTTCTTCTGTGCCCATACATTCACTTTTAGGACTTGCCTTTTCTATGGCTGGTTGTTTCAAAGGGGAGACCGGCAGGGCTGGGATACGGGAGGGTAAGGCAGCCCTAGTCTGGAGAGCATCGCCAACGCCCACCTTCCCTCCAGGAAATAACTTCAAGGACGAAGCTGCAGAGCTGCTCAGCCAAGCCCTGTCGGTAAGAAGCACGGGGTGGGTGCATCCCAGCCACATGGGAGATGTCCTTGGGAGATCTGGGGGCCCTGGGGTGGCGCTGGGCAGAGGGAAACGAGGCCGCTTACTTGCATGGTTTAGAGAACTGGCGTTTGGACTCTGCTGATCTTGGCAAAAGCCACGTGGTGTTAAATTCTCCGAGCAGTCATTGACACTTAAACAGAAAATGAATATGGAAATTGTCTTGAGTCTAAGAGCCCTAGCCCACCTCATCTTGGGGTGCTGGAGCCTCCATCACGCTGCCCCGAGAGAAGTGAGGTGTTTGCAGTCACAGAGAAGATGCAAGTTACTCTTCCCTCCACTGTTTCTTTCTCCAGTCTGATTACCGAATTAAGTCGCTGGATCTCAGTCACAACCAATTCTCTGACAAAGGAGGGGAGCACTTGGGACAGATGCTGGGTGAGTCTCCCACGGAGCGGGGGCTGGCAAAGGAGGGGTACCTGGCGACAGTTGCTCATCAGAGCTGCCTCTCCTGCTTTGTGTTGCCGTTGAATGTTCTGACGATAAAAAGCAATGTAAACCACGCCTGACGTAGCTTTCAAATGGAGCAAAGCCCTGGATGTGGGAAGTAAAGCTTCAAAACAATTAGAAGAAGATTTAGAGAAATAACTTGCTGACATCAGGGAAGCTTAGGATAATTAAATACACACGGTAGACATAAACGGTGATAAAAACGATGCATATATTCGACAGCAATGTTTAAAACTTGCATGTGATAAAAGACATCATGGGGCCATGTTAAAAGACAAGCAACAGATGGGAGTAGATATTTGCAGCATGTGTATAATATAAAAGATTAGCATGCAGAATATTGATAAAAGTTCCCATAGATCAATCAGACACTGAAAAAAGAAAGTCAAATGCCCAAACTCTTTAGTAATTAGAGAAATGCAAAATAAAACAACAGAAAGATCCCCCCTTATCTACCAAAGCTGCAAGATATTCAAGTCAGAGAATATCAAGTGCAGTGAACGCAAGGGAGAAACTGGAGCACTCAGAGCCAGGTAGGTAAAGGCACTTTGCAGAGCAATTTGACAATATTTATTAAAATTGAAAATGGATATATTCTGTGATGCCACACTTCACCTCAAAATGTCTCAGAGAAGCTCTCACACATACACAGAGGGATGTCTGAGGAGCTTCGCTGCAAAATTGTTATAAAAGAAAAAAAGTAGAAACAACCTAAATGCTCGTTGCTGAGGAAATGAATAGAAAAGGGGAGGACACTACTAGCAGTGGGGAGGGGGTGCTCGTTTAGATGGGGTGGCGAGAGAAAGCCCCACGGGAAAGTTGACTTTTTGTTGAAACCTCAATATCAAAGAAGAAACAGCCACGCTAGGTTCTGGAAGCACCGCACCCCAGGCAGAAAGAATAGAGCTCGGCCTGTTTGACGAATTGGGGGGACGGTGTGGCTGGTGCAGACTGGACAAGGGAGGGGATTGGAAGGAGAAGACGTCATAGAGGTGGCCTGTGGCCACTCACGTTGGGCTTTGTGGACCATGACATGCATGGAGTCTGGATTTTCTTCTACACGTGATGAGAAGTCATGGAAGGATGTTCAAGTGGGGGCGTGGCATGGTTTGATTTACAGTTTTAGAACCGACACATCAAGAATGCACCTAGGAGAACACGAATGGCAGAAGGCAAGCCAGTGGTAGCGGCAGTCTAGGCAAGACAAGATCACAGCTTGAGCTAAGAGAGGAGGGCGTGCTAGAGAAGAGTGGATGGATTCAGAAGATATTTTGGAAGTAAAACCAAAAAGACTTACTGATGTGAAGAATGAGGGAAAGGGAGAGATTAAGATAGACTCGTGGTTATTTTGTTTCAGTTACTGGTTGGATAGTGGCATCACTTACTTAGACGGGGAAAACTCAGGGAGTCACAGGTATAGAGGAGCAGGAGTTAGGCATCAAGACTTCAGTTTCGCCATGTAACGCTTGTGATGCCCGTTCGACACCTATGATGTCAGGGAGGCGGTTTGCTGTATGAGTTTAGAGCTTGGTGAAGAGATCTGGGCTGGAGAGACACATTTGGAAGTCATGGGTATGTAGATGTATTTAAAACCACGGGACAAGATGAGGTGGTCTAGGCAAAAGGCGTAGACAGAGTTGAGTAGGTGGCCATCCCACTGACCCCGGGTCATTGCAACATTTTTAGGTGTCGCAGAGAGGGAGAAAGAACCTGAGAAGGAGTGGTCAGTCAAATAGGAGAGAAAGTGAGGTATGAAGGAGCCAAGTAAGGGAGTATGTCAAGAAGGGGGAAGTAGTCAGCTGGGTCAAGCGCTGCTTAGAAGTCAAATAAGATGAGGACAGACAAGTGACCACAGGAATTGGCAACATGGAGATAATTGGTGATCTTGACAGATGCTGTGTTATTGAAGTGAGTATGGAATCCCGACTGGAGTGGGTTGAGTTGAAAATGGGATGGAAATGGCAACTTAGATAACTCCAGAAGCTCTGCTGAGATGAGGCTGGAACAGAAAGACAGGTGACATGGAGTCCGGAAGGTTTTTAAGGATGGAAAATGTGGATAGAAAGAAAAGAAAAAAAAAACTGATGATGCAGAAGAAGGAGGAGATAATTACGGGAGCAAAGTCCTTGAAAAGGCTGGAGGCGATGGCATCCAGAACAAAAATGGGGGGGGGGTCCCCTCCGACAGCATTCGTTCATTCAAAGAGGGAGGAGGACGGGTGGGTGCAGGTGCAGGCGGGCTGGTGGGTTTCAAGTTCAGAGGATGGAGCTCTCCCATCCCATTGCTGCCATTTCCTCAGTGAGGCATGAGGCAAGATCTTCAACTGAGAGGGGGGTAGGCTGATAGGTTTGAGGAGCGGGGAGAAGGTATAAAATAGCTTTTAGGAGGGGAGGAGCAAAGTGTGAACGAATTGTTGGGCAACTTGAGTCTCCATTCGAAAACTGAGCCATAAATTTAAAGTGAGACAGACTACATTCTGTTTTAATATGGTTATCATCACACTGTATATGCAGCTTTTAAAAATATTAATATTAAAATATTTACTAGTTCATTATTATTATTAAAGCTACCAAATGTTAAGCGATGGCTCTGTGACAGGCCTCATGCTAGACATTTTACATCAATCCTCACCAAAATCTTGTACAGGTTGATATCTCCATTTTACAGATAAGAAAAAAGAAGCAGGAGAAGGTTAGGAATCCGGCCAAGGTCACACAGCCAGCGAGTGGTGAGGTCAGAATTAAAATTTAAATTCTGTGGACATTTACGAGATGCAGGTGTGTAGGGTATAACTTAAGTGAGGGAATTGGCAAGAAGAGGAAACAAGGGTAAGAAGAGAATGAGAGAAGGGAGAGAGAGTGGAGGCAGGAGAGGGTTTGTTCTCAAAATAACATGAGGCGTTGTGCACTTTCCTGGAAGTACGTCCTGGGGCTTGACGCAGAGAGAGCCAGGATCAGTACCCAGTGCACTGCCCATAAAAGATAACGTAGAAGAAGACGTTTCCTGGGCCCGAGGGCTGCAGGCGACCCCTCCCATTCAGTAAAGCTTCAAGAGTACTTGAGCCTCTCCTTCCAATGGTGTCCTCCCGTATTCGCCCTCCCCAAAGAAAAGGAACAATAGTAATGTGCTTAAATAGGATGTTTTCCCAACCATATGTAGCATGTAAGCAAAAGCATCTTTAAGTTAAAAAAAAGGGCAATTTCTTTGCAAACCAAGTTTCTAGAAAAACCTGTCGCCTCCCCACTTCCAACTGATTGTGTTCCGAAAGCTCTCCTGGATAGAAATCCTGGAGCCACCGCTGCTCCCATAGGTCTCCATGAAAAAAGCATGTCATTTAATACGCCACGCCCTGCACAGCCTCCCTGTGTAAACACAACCCCTGTTTTCCATGCTTTCTCCATCTGTTTTAGTGGTTGGGTAATATTCCACCAGGTGGATATTTGTGATATACTTTACCCTTCCCCTGTGAGTCACAAACCTTACTTTTATAAGTGATGCTGTGGTAAACGTCTGCAAGCATGTAGCTCTTCTCGTATCTGGTACTGTCTCCTTAGGAAGGGTCTCGGAGGTGATATCGCTGTGTGACGGGTATATACATGTTGTAGGAAAATATCCTTGACACGATAGTATTTTCCAAATTATACCAATCTGCTTGCCACCTGCAATATGTGAGTATGATTGTTTCACAGCATCGTTGCCAGCATTGGGAATCGTCTATTTTCCGTTTGAGTGACTGAAAAAATGTGACCTCAGTGTTTTCTCTGCGTGAGCACAGAGGGATCCGTGCGCCCAACATCGTGGATGTCTGCTCACACTGAGCGTGGGTTCTGCGGGATGTGGGGGATGCTAAGATGACTCCCTCCCTCCGCCAGCCTTGAATGTAGGGCTCCAGTCGCTGGATTTGAGCTGGAATCACTTCTACACACGGGGAGCTGTGGCTTTGTGCAATGGTCTCCGGGTAAGGCTCTCTCTGGGAGTGGTTTGTTGATCCCGGTTGGGGGCAGCTGGGGCCTCCCTCCTGCCATCTTGAAGCTCTTCCTCATGGTGGCCATTGATGAGGGCATACTGAGCTCTCATCAAGTGCTCTTCACATTGTTAGTCTCCTTCCCACCACCCCTGGAGGTGCGTCATTCTTTGGTACCAATCCTAACAAGGTAAGTTCACCACGCAGGGGTCTGGGTGGCATCTTTGGGGCTACTTCAAGAGAACAGTTTACTTATCGTGTAGGGAATGACCAGAACCCAAAGGGAATGAGTCTCGAGAGTGCTTGAGACTCCAAGCCCAGCCGGGAGGGCCTGGAAAGATCTGGCAGATCCCTCTTTCCCAGAGACCACTGACCACCCAGTCTGGATGCAGCAGAGGGTAGAAATAGGGGCCGTTTCCTGGATGAGTTGCGTGCACCCTTGATGCTGGTGTCATTCTCCCCTCTCCCTGGAGACCAATGTGACCCTGAAGAAACTGGATGTCTCCATGAATGGCTTTGGGAACGAGGGGGCTACGGCCCTAGGGGATGTCCTCAGACTCAACAACTCCCTGGCCTACCTAGATGTTAGCGGCAATGACATTAGCAACGAAGGAGTCTCCAAAATCAGCAGAGGACTGGAGCTCAATGACAGCCTCAAAGTCCTGAAGGTAAAGTCCTTACCTAATCTGGGAACCGGTCATTTTATGTGTGCATACGTGTGTGTGTGTGTGTGTGTGTCTGTGCCTGTGCATCCATGTGTGTGTCCGTGTGTCTATGTGTGTATATCTGTGTCTACATGTATGTCTGTGTATCCATGTATATCTGTGCATCCATGTGTGTGTCTGTGTCCATGCATTCTTGTGTGTATCTGTGTGTGTCTGTGCATCCATACACGTGTCCATGCTTCCAAGTGTGTGCGTCCATGTATGTGCATCTGTGTGTCCGTGTGTGTCCATGCATCTGTGCATGTGTGCATCCGTGTGTGTGTGTGTCTGTGTATGTTGGGGTGGGGGCAGCAGGGTGATGGGGCTGACATTGCTGGAGAGCATCACTGGGAAAATCTACCCTGTGCTTCACATGTGCATATGTTCTTGACTGTCTCTCTGCTGTAATCCCAGGGTCACCCTCCACTCTCAGCTGGTGCACAGTAGTCATCCCTAACCACCCTTCCTTCCTCCCATCTGGGTCTCCTCCAGGCTCTTCACACTGCAGCCCGAGTGTACTTTCTGAGCATAAACCTGACTTCTACCTCCACCCCCATCTACTCTCCTCCACCTTAGACCCCCATGGCCTCCTGTTGCTCAGATCCAGTTCTCTCATCCCTCTGTGCTTCTCCAACCTCAGTTTACCCCATGCTCTCTCTCGCTCTCCCACCAAGGCTGGCCTCAGGGTCTTCTTTCATCTCCTCTCCTCCTGCTGCCGGGTCTGGCTCAGGCTGCGTCCTCGGCCTGCAGTGCCCGGGCCCCCTGCTCCCAGCCACCTGCCTTGATTGTCGCTCTGCCTCCTGGCGCACCTCCAGCAGCAGTCCTCAGGGAGCCTTGGCGGCGTCCTCAGAACCCTGCTCACCCCTTCCTGCAGAGCTTACTGCAGTCTCTCCTCACACCCTCATCGGAGGGACTCTGACCGTCTGTCCCCCACTAGTGTGAAAACTTCATGGAAACAGAAACCGTGTCTGAGTTTGCCCATCGTTGGACCCGTTGTACCTAGCACTGGGCATAAAATAGATGCTCAATGAATATTTATTAAATGAATGAATGAATACATATTTCATTTTAAGTTAATTTGCTTATAGATGCTAATTTACAATACAGAAGCTTCTGGGCAGTTGGAAAACAGATGGAAGATGAGGACTTCTATTAACAGTTCCCCTTTCTGGGACTCCAACCACTAGCCAGGTCCCGTCTCATGTGGTTTGCGTCCTCCTCATAGCCCAGCCCTCCAGGTGGGCTCCACTAGCCCCACTTGTCAGATGAGAAAACGGAGGCCCTGTGACTTGCTCAGGACACACTGCAGGCAAGAAGCAGAGGGAAGTCAGCCCCACCTGGCTTTCCACTGCAACACCGACTCCCTCAAGATGTCGGGACGGCCCAAGGGGGACCACTGACATTGGGGTGCTCGTGGAAGAAGAATGGGAGTCAGGAATCAGTAAAGATGAGCCGCCATCCCAGAGGGCAACCACCTTGGAGCTATGAAAGTGACAAGAGGAAGTCAGAGTCCGCCCAGTGGAGGGAGCCTGGTGACTGCAGACCAGACCAGATGTAGGGCCTGGGAGAGCTAAGAGTCTGGCCTGGCTGGAGTGGGACCAATTGTAACTCAGATAAGAGAGACTGACCCAGCCTGTGAATGATTCAGCTTTGGTGGCCAATGAAGCCAAGGGCAGTTCAGAGAACCTGAATTTTAAAAGACTAAACATTGCCTGGGGCTGGCCCAGTGGCCTAGCGGTTAAGTTTCTGTGCTCTGCTTCGGTGGCCGTTTGGTTCCCCAGGCGCAGACCTACACCGCTCGTAGGTGGCCACACTGTGGCAGCAACCCACATACAAAATAGAGGAAGACTGGCACAGATGTTAGCTCAGGGCAAATCTTCCTCAGCAAGAAAAAAAAAGAGAAAGAAAGAAAAGAAGAGAAGACTATAAATTGCCTCAGCAAAATGACAACAGGGGTTTTCTCTGGTTGTGGAGTATAGACAATTTTAACATTTTTTTACCTCTTTTAAAATTTTTTATATGATGAGCACATGTAAGAAATATATTTTGATTTTTAAAAATGTTTTTAAAATGAAAAGAGTTTAAAATGTAATTCTCAGTTTGGCCATAGGTGAAGGCCACATCAATTTTGCCACTGGAATTATCTATGCTTCTCCACATCCAGCCCTAGCCTCCTTTCTCTAATCTTGGATAAATAAAGCGTTCTCCCTGAGAAATGAGTCAAGCAAAGGCTTCTAGATGCTAAGACCTAGGAGGGCAGGGCTCAAGTCTGTCTTTTTTCACTGGAGAACATCCGAGCCTAGGAAACACCTGACACACAACACAGCGGATGCTCGATAAAAGTCCCTGCCTGCCTCATCATGGAACCAGCTGAGCCCCTTGGAGAATAATAACTAACACTTGTCGGCTGCTTCCTATGAACCAAGAACTCTTTTGAATACTTTGCTCGAATCCATTTGTTGAATCCTCAGAGCAGCCCTAGGTGATGTGTCAGGGAACGAATGCCAGGCCAGAGAGCTGTAAGCAGGGTCACTGGGCTCCGTGCTTCCCTCTCTGCACCATGCTCCAGGGGCTCCCAGCACAGGTGGGACAAGGCCCTGAGTACTTAACTAAGCCCGCAAGGTCCTGTGTGGTCTGGCCCATCACAGCTCTGCGGCCTCGTTCTCTCCGCTCCCACTCACGAAGCATCCGCTACCGCCCAAGCACCTTTGCGCTTGCCTACCCTCATCTTCTTTGGTGCATTTTGTTCCCTCCTCTCGTCCTGTCCTCCCTTCTTCAGACCTGACTAATCCCCATTAGTCCTGCAAGGCTTGACTCAAGCGTGCATCCACTGTACTGGAGGCCCCTTTCCTCGCTCCTGTGATGCCAGTGTGTGCCTCTGTCACTGCCATCACGGCACTTCTGATGCCATTTGCTTGTTTGCCTGTCCCTCTCTACAGCCTAAGTTACCAGAGGGCAGAGACCTTGTCATGTCTGCCTGCACAGCTCTCAGCACTTAACCCAGTAACTGGCACATGGCAGGCCCCCAATACATGTTTGCTGGATGGATGGATGGATGGATGGATGGATGAGTGGAGAGTTGGACAGGTGGATGGATGGATGGATGGATGGATGGATGGATGGATGAGTGGAGAGTTGGACAGGTGGATGGATGGATGGATGGATGAGCAGTGAGATGGACAGGTGGACAGGTGGAGGGAGGGAGGGATGGATGGATGGATGGATGGATTGATGGATGGACAAACAGACGGACAGGGAGACAGGTGCTTACAGATAAGTCTGGGAGGGAGACAGAGATTGTGAATTGATGGGAAGAAATGGAAGCTGTGCTCTGAGCCAGCCTCTCCTGGCCCCATCTCAGCCTCCTCCTGTCTCGCTCCTCCTCCCACAGCTTTTCCTGAACCCTATGAGTATGGATGGAGCTGTTTTACTTATCCTGTCCATCAAGAGGAACCCCAAATCCAGTATGGAAGAACTCGACATTTCCGTGAGTGATCAAATGGTAGTCGCTTGCACCAGGGAGCAAGCCAGTTACTGTGGCCACTCCAGGTTGGCAGGTGCCCCCAGCTCTATCCCTCACGGGCCCTCACACAAATGCTCCATGAAAACGTCACTCCTTTGGAGCATAACTCTGCCTTCCAGGGTCCTTTCCATAGGAGTAGCCATTCAGTCAATAACATCAGGGTGTGACATCATGTACCAGATCCTGGGAACCCAGGACCTGAACACCTGAGAGGGAGCCTGAGCGTGGAGATGAGGAAACAGCGGGAACTAAGGCAGAAGGACCACAGAACGGAATTTGTTTACTGTCAGCTTTGCTGATGGATGGAGCTGGGTCCCAGGATGGTTCCAGAATCACAGGATTTTTAGAACCTGAATATAAAACATGTACAAACTTGCATTTTCATTTCATGACCTGGCCTACTCAGAGTGGCATTTGAGGGTAAAAATCCCTGGATGGTGGAGGAAAGCCCAAGGTGACTCCAGACTCCTGCCAGGTGCCCTTGCCTGAATCACCCGAGAGGTGGTAGCTGGTGGTTACAATATCCTACACTTGTCTACCATTCTATAATCTTTTTTTTACCCCAAAGTGATTTTCTGTACCCCAGCTCCTCTGATCCTATTCCGGGAGGTAGGGAGAATGAATTCATGTCCTAGCGCTGCCGTGGCAAAGTACCACAAACCCGGTGGCATAAACAATAGGAATTTATTGTCCCACAGTTCTGGAAGCTAGAAGTGCCAGATCCAGGTGTCAGCGGGTTGGTTCCTTCAGAGGCTGTGAGGGAGGCTCTGTCACACGCCTCTCTCCTCACTTCTGCTGGTTGCCGGGAGGCAGTCTTCGGTGTTCCTTGGCTTGTAGCAGCATCACCCCCATCTCCGCCTTCATTTCAGGTGGCATTCTCCCTGTGTGCATGTCCATCTCTGTATCCAAACATCCCCTTTTTATAAGGACACCAGTCATATTGGAGCAGAGCCCACCCTAATGACCTCATTTTAATTTCATCATCTGCAAAGACCCTATTTGCAAATAAGGTCACGTTCACGAGTACTGGGGGTTAGGACTGCAACATCTTTTTTTATGAGGGACACAATAACAGGTACTTTTCCTCATTTCCCCACTTTACATATGAGGAAACTGAAACAGAGAGGTAAGGTCACTTGTCCAGGACTGCACAGCAAGTGAGAAACATAGCACGGAGTAAACCCAGGGCTTCTGCCTCTTACTCTAGAGTTCCTATAAAGGTAAAGTCCTTTTACATTTCTTTAATGACACACAAATATCACGTTTTGGTAAGATTTTAATGCCTTGCAATTATATCAGTGAGGATATTTTGAATATTTAAACCCAAGCTCCTTGGAACTGAATAATAAGTAAAATCCGGACTTATGTTTGCGACAGATTATAAAACATTATAAAAACATATCAGATTTTCTTCTCACTTTGTTCCCTCGCCCTCTCTCCCCGCCCCAGGCTCCGGCTTGTGTTCATGGTCTTTCTCCTCGGGGCCCTCTCTCCACCCACTTCCTACAGCTCTGGCCTTGCGCCCCACAACACTGCCTTATCCTGCACCCCACCCATCATGACTGTCAGCCACAGGTGCAGGTTTCGTTAGCTCTTGGCTCCCCCGCCAACAGCACAGGCTGGAAGTATGGACACAGGCGCTGCGTCAGAGGGGATGTTAGAAACGCTGCTGTTTAGGCTGCAGACTGCGTATAAACCCATGCGCTGGGCTCACACTGCCCCTTAACAAGCCTACCAGAACAAAGGGATCTGAAGTAGCCTTTTCCTTCCCTTTTGTCAACCATGCTGCCATAACTCTAGATGGTGTTGGAATTCCTTTATTGTAGATGCTTCTAGAACTTTCTCTAGAATATCTACAAAGGGGAGGGACTAAGTCTTCAGCCCTCAAGCATGGGTTTAATTCTTTGAAAAGGCAAAAGATACTCAGAACCACAGCCGAGGGAGGAAGCAGGTTGATCAAACTGGCGGAGGCTGGGGTTGTGCAAACATGATTTCACAGGACACATTTTCCCCTGTGGCCTGTGACCCAAAAGGGGGCTTCCCAATGCATTTCGAGCCATGATGGGATGGTTGGAATGAGGGATCTCCTTCCAGGACTCCTGCTCTGAAGGCCAACACTGGGATAGATCCAGACGTTTCAGGGCCTTTGTTTCGGGCCCAGTCTCACGGCCCTGGACGCAGGCACTTACGCTCGCCCTCTGAGAGCCGAGCTGCGCCGACAGCACGTGACGGACGAGCCACCAGCACCGACTAGAACATCTGACCAAAATCACGTGGGAAACTTCCAGGTCAAACCATGAGCTCTAAGAAACGTCCCATCTAGGAGCAGCAACGCAGGACAAACTGGAAAAGACAGAACGCTCTGACTGTGGCTCGGGTGGGCATGCTGGTCTGGGCAGGGAGACGGCACAAGGGCGGTGTCCACCCCGTGATGGGTCCTCTCTCTCCCCGCCTCAGAACGTGCTGGTGTCTGAGCAGTTCGTGAAAACGTTGGATGGGGTGTACGCCGTCCACCCCCAGCTGGACGTGGTGTACAAGGCGGTGCAAGGCCTGTCTGCCAAGAAAGCCGTCCTCCTGTGGACGAACCCCATGAAACTGATCCAGGTGAGCCCCACTTTCCTCTCAGAGCCCCAGGCACGCCCGGAGAAAGCCGACCTCTGGGTCCCAATCAGCAACCCAGAGTTTCTCCTCCCGAAAGGGGCTGCACAGCCCACTCTGACAAGGAACGTCCCAGACACGGAATGTTCCCTGTGGATTTAGGATCTCTCAGCAGCGCTTCCTGCCTCCAGAGAAGGGAAGAGCTGAGAACTGGCTGCAGTGGGAGGGGCTACCAGCTGGGATCCACCACTCCCTCATGTACCACCAGAGGCAAGGCACTAAAGCTCTCTGTGCCTCAGTCTCTTCACCTGTGTAATGCGCATAATGATAGTACCCACCCTGGAGGGCTTTGTATATAGAAATATAAATTCTATAATACACACGACGTGCTGAGAAGAATGCCCGGCACATGATAAGCGCTCAATAAACACAGGCTCTTTCCAGTAGCTGGTGAGGGTGTCAAGATACCCCTGTGGTCAGGATGGCTATTTGGTGACTTCAGCTAAAGAGGGACCCTCAAGTCCTTTATATCTAGTGATAAACTGCACCTGGCTGAGTCTTTCCTTAGACTGTTTCCAACAATCACAGGGGGCAGACGGAATGATGGAAATAAAAACTCAGAGACCGTTAGAAGTGGAAGGGGTGTTGGAACCCCTCTGGTCGGATTGCCTCACAGAGCAGTGACCAGCCCCAGCTCTGGTGTTTCCACCACTGGCTCTTGCCCCGAGGTGGAGGTGCCAGGGCTGCTCCTGGAGGCAGACTCGTTGCTACCTGGGGAAGCAGGAGCGGGGATGCTGCTGTGCAAATGCGGGTTCTGCAGGGTGTGTGGCCCTGGGGCCGCTTCCTGGTGCATCTGCTCTGTGCCTCAGTTTCCAGGACTAAATGGAAGGGCTCTTGCAAGAAAATTATTGTTGTATGAAAAGTTCTAGAAAGCAAAGGAATATCAAATGTCTTTACGAGTCAGAGGACGTCAGATGAGACCAAGGGGGGAACTTGTGTTGCAAGAGGATCAGGATGCTCCAGGGAACAGGAATGGACTTATCTGATGCAAAGCGATGCTGTTGGTTTAAGACAGAGTAAGAATGGAGTCTCAGAGGAGAGGCCAAACCAGACACACACAGCCCTTCCCCTCAGGGGGCCAACAATCTGGCTGGGAAAACGGATCAGATATGGTAATTTCGAATAGAAAGTATCATATGATAAATAACAAATCAGCGACAAAGGCAGCAAATATAACCAGAATCCAAGTTAGAGGTCTCTGTAAGGTGCGGCAAACAGAAAAGGCTACTTCCTGGCGGAGCTGGGGTTGGGCAGGGCCTTGAAGAGCAGGAAGGATTCAGGGGAGCAAAAGCGCCAGGAAGGGGGTTCCGGGAAGAGGATCCCCACCAGCACAGGAGCAGAGGGGCGACTGCACGCAGTGGGTTGAGGGATGGGAACGGAACCACGTGGCTCCAGCAGAAGAACCGTGCGGCTCCAGGCTCACAGGGAAGCCGGGAAGTCAAGGATGGAAAGGGAGGCTGGAGCTGGATGTGGCCATCCTCCGATTTCAGGCTCAGTGTTCAAGTTTGACTCCTTGGGGAGTAAGGAGCCAGCGAGTGTTGAGGAGTGGGTGTGGTGTGGATCCGGCAGGAACAAGGGAAGATTTTTCAGGCAACAGAGAGGGAAATGGACTGAAGCAGGTAAAGATAAGAGTGGGGAAACCAATGGGGACACTGTTGTGGTATTCTAGGTCTGGAATGATAACTTGGGTGAGAGAGACATTGGAAGTGGAGGGACAGATGTAGGAGACATCATTATGGAGCATCTCCAGGACTTGGAGAATGGTTGGGCATATGGTGCGTGTGCGTGTGCGTGTGTGTGTGTGTGTGTGTGTGTCTTCGGAGAAGGGAGGTCTGTGATGATAAGAGAAAGCCAAAGATAACCCCAACATTTCAAGTCCAAGGGACCAAAAGAAAGATGGTATCATTGCCAGAGGTAGGGAAGTCTGGATGGGGAAAGGGGGCCACCCCCTGGCCCCGCCTCTCTCCAGCCCCAGCCCTCCCCATCCTCCCGCCTTGCTCTCCACATTTCAGCCCCACCAGATTCCTCCATCCTTCTCTGCATCAGTTCTCTTAACTCCAGGCCTGTGTACACGCAGGTCCGTCTACCCAGAATGCCCTTCCTCCTGCCCTCTGTCTCATCATTCCTACTCATTCTCTAGGTCTCTCGTCACATGTCACGTCCTTGGACAGCCCTTCTCAGATTCCCTAGTGATGCAGAAATGCCCTTGCCCCTTGCCATGTGCTCCCACAGCCCTCTGCTTCACCCTTTCACCCCGAGACTGTGCATCCTCCAGGGCAGGAGCTGCGCTGGGTCTCGTCAACGGCATCTACCAAAGGAACAGGCCCTTACGCTGCTCAAGGTCCTTAGTTGCTGATGACAGAATCCGTTCTAGTGGGTTAAGCAAAGAGGGATGCACTGCTGGAGACAGACCACAGAAACATTGGGAGGGCTGAAGAAACAGACTCCTGGTTTAGGGTCCAGAAATGGCTCCCCAAACACCCCAACTGGGTTGCCGGGCCAGGTGCTGCTTCTGCCACGATCAGGAAGCTGCCCGATGAGGAATCCCCCGCTGAATCAGGAAGCCACCCCCACATCTTCCCACGGCCCACTGTCTCCACATCAGACCTCTCACCCGAGCCTCACACAGGTGCTTGGTGAAAGCCAGCCCGTGCCGACCCCTAAGTCAAGGGATTTGGGGAAAGTCGATGTTTGGCTTTCTGGCCTCTGCATTATAGAGGCATGCTGTGAAGGGACTGGAGTGGTTGCTGAGGGCTCACCCATGGCATCTGACACAGCACCCAGTGACAGTGTGCAGAACCGAGCCCACTGAGACTCACCTCGGATGTGTTGGATGGAGGTGCCGGGGGGGCGTCAGCATGGACGTGTGAGCAGCAGTTGAAAATGCAGAACTGGTCGCCCCAGGTGGGGAGAGGCAGTGCACACCAGAAACGACAGCGTGGGGAAAGGAGAAGGGGACCAAGGATGGATCCCTGAGGAGTTCCTCTGGGAGCAGGATGTCTGCAGGAATACCACCAATAGAGCAGGGCCCTGCCGGGGCCTTATGAGATGCAAAAAGAGGACCCCAAAAGAACATCTGAATGACAGTGAAAGGTGCTCACAATGCGTTAGTACAGGGCATTTTATAAAACTGCATGTACAGTAGAAAGATGATGGATGGATGGATAGCTCAACAGATGGATAGATAGATGGACATTAGATAGGTAAATAGATGATAGATAGATGATAGATAGATAGATAGATAGGATACACATCAAGATGTTACCTCTGGACGATAGGATTGGATTCATGGGTTATTTTTAACTTACTTCTTTCTAATATAAAATTACCTTGCAATGTGAGTAATATTTTCAAAATGAAATACTATTTTTAAAATGCTCCAACACAGTACATCTCCATATAAGCCCTTGTGTGAAGTGGCGAGAATTCCATGAGTTCCGAGAGCCTGTCCTGTCTGTGTCACTACGTGGCGGTGGTTTGGTCTTTCAGTCTCGGAGCCAACAAGGGCCCCCACCATCCACAGTGTACCATCTACACTGGTTTTAGTGGAGGCAATTTCAAACCTAGTAACACGTGTGAACACGATCACCCACGCTCTCCCCTCAATGCTGGGGGGCCTCAACCGCATCGACTCCCACCCTCCCACCTTTGGAGCAGCATGGAGATCCTGCTCAGGGGGTGTGGGCTCTGGAAGCTGAGCCATACCCCAGAACCACAGTGGCCCGCAGGGTGCCAGGCCTCGGTGTGGGTGGGACTCTTGATCTACACCCCCAGTCTGTCCTCTCTCACTGCCCCTCCGCCTGCTGGCTCTGGGAGCGCCCACCACCCTTTGGTGGGAGGGGAAGGGGTGTTGTTACAGATGTTACCAGGTCAAGTGTTTGCTCCTGGTGTCCCTGCTTCTCTCAGAGCTATGCAGACCAGCACAAAATCACGGTAGTGGACTTCCTCAAGAACTTGAACCCTACCAGAACGATGAGGATGCCTGTAGGCGAATTCCGGAAAGCTATGGTACAGGTATGCTGATCCCCAGTGGCCGCAGGCACTGTGTGTGTGTGTGTGAGACAGAGAGAGAGAGCGAGCGAGAGAGAGCACAAGAGACAGACACACAGACAGAGACAAAGCACAAGCACTTCATGGAGCTTCCCGGGATTGTCTGTGAGAAGCCATTTATCTGCCTCACTTATCCAGACCCAGAGGGAAATCTCAGACTCCCTCGACCCCCTGCTGAAGTCGTTCTCTGTTCCGTAGACTTGATGCCACCGAGGACCCAAGATGCCACATGAAGACACACACTCCTCATCTTAGAGGTCTTTCTCCCATCGCAGTTGGCTACCGGGCAGACACACAAAGGGAGTGGGAAAAGAGACACATCCCAGAGCCCCAGTATGTCCACCTTTGGCCCTCTCCTCTTGCCTGGAATCCCACTCAACCCCCAATATGACGAAGGTGCTGAGGCCCCTGAAACGCCAACTGGAAGAGGCCCATGGTCAGAGCAGCCCTAGGGAGGAGCTGGGCCCGGCAAGACAGGGGTCAGGAGGGGACGTTCTGTCAGCCGTGGTCCCAAGAGGAGTGAGGCTTTATGTAGAGTGTGTGTGTGCATGTGTGTGTGTGCGCGTGTGTGTGTGTATGTGTGTGTGTGTGTGTGTGCGCGCGCGTGTGTGGTGGGGAGGCCTGGAGAGGGGTAAGCAGAAAGCTCCATTAACCTGGCCTGTTCCATCCACCTCCTCAGCAGAAGCAAGTCCCCTTAAACCGGTCCCAAATCAGGGAGCTGATAAAGAAGATTGACGAGAAGACCGGCATGGTGAACTTCAGGTCAGCCCGGGCCCTGCGGCCCATGCCTCTCCAACTTCTGCCGCGGGGAGGTCCCCAGTTCTCTGTGAGGCGCCCTGGCAGGGTGGACCTGGGCTCCGGGTGCCACCCTGTCTTCATTTTATTAGGTGTGACGTCCCCCGCCTGGCCTCCCCTGCAGCAGGTGGCTCCTCTGGCCTGGACCCCAAGGCCAGGCCACTATTTACCCTCCTCCTCCTCTTCCATTCGCTCTCAGCAGAGCTTCGGCCTCAGCCATATACTGCCGCTGGCTGTGGGGCAGATTCTGGGGCACAGGGCTCACAGCCGAATAGGAGGTGACACAGGGAGCAAACAGTTAGGCCCCGGCGTGGTGAGAGGGGTAATGGGGATTTGTGCCAGGTATCACAGTAGCCCAAAGAGAGGGTATCACTCAGGCGGGGGGTGTCACATAGACACAGTCCAGAGGACAGGGGACTAAAGCATGAGCCGGTACGTTGGGGAGCCTCAGGCCATCCAGCTCTGCTGTGGCTTAGGGAGTCACGCAGGTCGTGACAGGCTGACCTCCTTGAAGAGACAGAAAAGGACCCTGACAATAGTAATAACAGAAACCAACCCCCCTGAGCCCTCTCCACGTGCCAGCAGCTCTGCCGGTCCCTAACAGGCACAGGCGCCTGTCCTCTCACAGGGCCCTATGCCGGCCGGCCATGCTGTGCTCACCCCCAGGCTGTAAGTGATGAGACTGGGCTCCAGCGAAGGGAAGCCCAGAACCTAAGTGCCTGCAACCAGGAAGGGGCAGCGGTGGCCTTTGAACCCAGGTCTGAGTGGTTCCATACCAGCCCTCCTTGCCAGGGCCGCAGGACCCCAGTGGGTCTGCTTTTGGCTCCCACATGACTTCATGTCTTGCAGGGTCCCTAAGGAGCTCTGTGAGGAGGCCTCTCTGGTCCTGCCCCACAGCCATCCCCCAATGCCTCTGTCCTGAGCCTCGAATAGCGTCTCCACGTGGAGAAGCCACAGTGCAGACGGGAAGGACAGACTTGCCCAGCTGCAAACCCTACTCTCGTTCAGAGTGTGGCGTGTGCAGGGCTCTCAGTCTCTGAATCTTTAGAAGGGGGTGGTAGCCACAGCACCCAAGAGGGTTTCGTAAGGATCACCTGGGGGAAATGCACATAAGGAACTGACACGGTGGTGTCATTCAGGCATGACACTATCATCCAGCAAGGGGCCCCCCAAGGATGGCTCAGGCTCACATCCTCCCTACACCATGCCCACTCCCTCTAGTGCGGCTTGTGTGTCTCTGTGCCGATGTCCCCGCTTGCTGTTCCTAACGTGGCATCTCTCTCCTTTGGGATGCTGGTGGGAAGGCCCAAGGTGGAGGTCAAGAGACCAGGTTCTGGGTCCAGCAAACCCTCTAGCTTTGCAGATGAAGTCACACAGCCATCGAGAGGCAGAGCTGGGGCCAGGGTCCCCGCGTCTCAGGATCCGAGTAGGGGGCTCTCGTGGGCACCTCAAATTGCCCCTCAGATCACACACCACCACTTTATTAGTCCAAACTGCCCTCCGGTCACACACCGCAGCTCTATTAGTTCTGATTAGAGGGCAGAGTTGTAATTTTTCTTGTTGCAGGAATTTTCTATTTTCATTTTTTTTTACAAATAATATCTGCTTGTGAAAATTCTAAACCCACAGAAGTATAGCAAGGAGAACGTGAAGGTCCTCTTTTATCTCCCCACCCCACAGCTCTCTCTGCCTCCTAGAGAGCTCTCGTGAGCAATTTCAGGTGCACGTCTCCATACCTTTTCCCACGGACTCGCAATCAAGAATGTGCGTATGCGAGTGAGTGTGTGCCACAGTGGTTAAAAACAGGCTCTGGGGTCAGAACACCTGAGTTCCAATCCTGGCTCCACTCCTGTGGAACCTTGGGCAAGTTACCCAATCTCCCTGTGCCTCAGTTTCCCCATCTGTATTATGGGGCTTATAATAATACCCATGGCATAGGAGGTTTTGAGGATTAAATGGAGTAATGTCTGTAAAGCATTTAGAACACTATCTGGCATATGACAGGCTCAAAGTACACGTGTATTTTGTTATATATTATTTTACGCCCCCCCATACACACACACACACACACACACACACACACACACACACTCACATTACAGGGCTTCTTATTTGTCATAAGTAGAATCATCTTCTTGGCTCCTCTGAACCTGCTTTGCCTTATGGTATATTAATACACTGAGCTCCATCTCAGTCTGTTTTAGCTGCCATATGGTATCTCATAGTACAGGAGTCTCATAAGTTAATCTCATTTTTATGGACATTTACGTTATTTCCAATGTTTTGCTACTACAAATACTGTCACCAACATCCTTTTGATGGAGTGTTCGCGTGCACGCGTTTCTCTAACGGGCTCGGTGGAGTGGGGTCAGGGTAATTGCTGGGTCAAAGCGTGTGCACATTCTAAAATTTAAATCTGCTGACAACATGAACCAGCTCTCTGCCCCATCCCCGGGCCGACCCCGAGCCTTACCCACGGTCAGAGCACTGCCAAGAGGAGGGTGGGTTCACGCAGGCTCTCTTGGATTTGAGCCTATCTAAACACGCTGATCAACCAGCCATGAGGCTGCACTGGCGCTCAGTGCTACCTGCTTACCTTTCAAACCAGTCTCTTGAAAATGGCGAAGCCATAGCAACAAGTCTGGTCTGGAAAGAAGTCTCAGCGAGGAGAAGTCCTGGCAAGTCGGATGGCGGCAAGGAGGAGGCGGAGAGCTGGCTGGAAACTCTGTGCACAGACACCGAGGCCAGGACTGTGAGCAAGCAGGTGAATAAAGTCTGGCTTGGTCTCCGTGTCACCGGGAGGCTGGTGTGCCCTTCACCAGGGGGGCGCCCTCTGGTTCTAGTGACCACCAGGGGGCGCGTGCTTGGCGGCCTAGAAGACAAATTGGAAATGCAACGGGGTTGCTAGGAGGCAGGAAAAGAGCAATGGGGAGGTCAGCACACAAAAGCAGTGGTTCCAGTCAATGCAAACTGTGTCAAGGGGAGAGATCTCTGAGATGCGGGAGGCAGTGGTAGAGGGAACAGATGCTCAGGAAATGAGAACAGGCGCCTTCTGGAGCAGGTGCAGAGGGCTCACGTGGAGAGAGCCCAGGACAGGAGACTGAGAGACCCGACATCTAATTGTGGCCTGGCACTACCTGGCCACCTGAACTTGGAGCCTCATGGTTCCACCTGAAAAGTGGGACAGCTGAAATAAAGGCTGCCCAGTCTGTCCCAGGGATCTACCGTGCTATGTTTCTTTTCAAAACTCCTTGGGAAACGGGGGAGATATGAGGAGCTTAGCTAAAAAGCAAGAACAGCCAAGAGGACCAGGCACTGAGCAGGTGGGGGAATGGGGACCTTAAAGGGTTTAGATTAACCTCACCAGTGTCTTTGTGGACGAACAAGGCCAGCAATTGTCCCAAGCATCTCTGTAGCACCTGCACAGCACCTGGCACACAGTAGGTGCTCAATAAATACCTGTGGAATGAACAGACATGATCACCTGGCAATTGTTTGGGGCAAGTGGTGGGAAAGTGGGGGCTGGATGGGGGCGCATCCAGGAACCAACACTTTGGCGCCCCAGAGGACCGCTGGAACAGCATTGGTCGTCAAGGCACCAGCCCTTGGATTTCACTCGGCTTCTTCACTGAGGATGGAGGCGATGCTGAGGCCTCTCTGCGCAGGTGGCAGAATCATTATTGTAAATAATTTATGTTCCCCCCTCCCATGCACCATATTTTCCCCTCTTCCTTCCTTGTTCAGGGTTCTAGCCTGGAGTTGAATTTTCGTTAATTGGGTGGAATAGGGGCTCAGAGGCAAAATTAGGATGATGAAAAGAAAAAGAAAAGCAGTGAGCAGTCTGTGGGATGAAACTCACATCGCTCATACACATCAGGGTAGGTAGACGTCTTTGCTCCAACTCCCCGAATGAATCGAACCCCCTTGAAGTCATGAACGCTGTCTCCTAAGTCTATTATGATCCAAAAGACCATCACGTCCCCTGACCGTAACTAAGGATTGAATAGCTGCTGGTGTCGTGGAACCCTGAAGATAACGAGGCCACGAAGTACCAAAATTTGTCATGGGATATAGGTTATGGATCAACAAAAACAGCAAAGTGTTCTCAAGATGCTTTTATTCATCTTTGGCATAAAAATGAAAACGCAACAATTTTCGTATCAGATGTTATTTTTTGTTTGGGTAGCTTTGGGGGAATGATGGAGATATGGGAAAGCTAAAATCTCCCCTTCCACTCTGACCCTTTGGGCTACCCCTTGACATCTCCACCAGCAAGTTAAATGAAGGACGCCTCCCCCAAACCCTGCCTGCAGCAGCCCCGACGCCTTCCCCACGGTGGGGTAATTCTCACTTGTGGCCACCAGGTGTCAGGTCAGCTCCAAAAGTCGTCGTGAGAGCCCCGAGCTCTTACAGATTGCTGGGCAATCTTTGCAGTACATTTTCTCTGATCTCCCAAACTTCCGCCATGAGGAGCCTGGCATGACATCTGAGCCCCGAAGCGTCCAGCAGCCTGACACCTGGGCAGACCTCTCCAAGGCTCTGTGTCCTCATTGAGAATCAGGGTTAGTAACAGCCACCTTACACGCTTGCTGCCAGGAAGAAAATCAGGCGCTCAGTAAAAGCACCATAAACATTCAGTCTCCTCCCACCGTCAGCCCACCCTGGAGCTGGGTAAGGCCACAAGAGTTGTGCTCCATGGGGCGGGGGGGGGGGGGGGGGGGAGGGGGCGGCTGCGCAAGGAACTTGCCCACTGACAGTGGGCTGACTTGCCCTTTGTCAGCTCACCGAGTCAGGAGGCGCCAGACCAAGGTGGAAGGGCCTTGCAGGAGCAGGAGAGGCCATCAGGGCAAAGATGGCCCAGAGTGGCTAGCCCACAAGCCCAGCACTGAAGGGGGTCAGGCTGCAGCCCCCCGGGAAAACAGCCCCCTGCAAATGCCCCTCCTTCATGCCACCTCAGTTTGGCTTAATGCACTAACTCAGCCTCCTCAGCGTGACCCTGTGCTATGAGGTCTGCCATCACCCCCACTTCACAGTCGGGGAAATGGAGGCACGGAGAAGTTAAGCACCTCGCCCAAGGGCTCCTGCTAGTAATTGGCAAGGCCGAGATTCAGACCCTGGCAATGTGGCTCTGGCTCCTTGAGGTCTCAACCACTGCACTTCCCTGCCCCTCTGTGGCTTCCATGCAGCTCTGTATCAACAGGGGGGAATTTAAATGCACCTGCTCTGGTTACATTCTTTCTGCAACAAAGTAATGACTCAATTGATAGCAAGAGTGCCAGGCCAGGCTGGACTGGCCCATGGGAGGGAGGCAAAGGTGAGCTCCGTTGTGGCTGATCTCACCAGGCCAGGTTGATATGCTCTCTCTGCCCCCTGCATTGCTGAACCGCACCAGGAGAGGTGGGGTGGGAGAAGGAGCGTGGAACGGCTGTGTACCAGAATCGCAGAGCGGTTAAGCAAGCAAATTCTGGCATGTGACAGCTCTAGGTTTGAATTCTTCCTGGCTTCATTAATTGTCAGCTCTGTGACCTTGAGCAAGTCTCTCAACCTCTCTGAATCTCAATTCCCTCATCTATAAATAGAGAAGATAACGGTAACCCTCCCCCACAGGGTTGCTGTGAAAGTTTCCTAAGATCATGCATGTGAAATATCCAAGTACTGGGCCTTTGAAACACCATGGGAAGCATTCTGACCTCAGGCTTGGCTTAAGGCTTGCATAAAATCCAAAGAATTTGTCCTGAATCTTAAGAATTGGAGGGAGGTGGAGGGACCGGGGAGCAGCCGCCCTGTGTGGGCAATGCAGGGCCCACAGTGGACACCTGGCATTTTTCTTGGCTGCTGAGGTCTGAACTCCCTTCCTCGGCCCCACCTTACAGGCCCTGGGAGGGGCAGCTGTGACTTGTGGCGGGGACATAGGATCATGCCCACACCAGACACTGACTCCCTGAGCTGGATGCAGGAGCTGGCACCCCAAAGAACCAAGGCCCGCGGAGAATTCCCTCTGGCAGCTGAGGCCCTGCAGCTGGAGGGAGTCCTCAGGGCAATGATGGTGGCGATGCTGGTGGGGCTGCTCAGGGTGAGAGCCTGCGGGTCAGTGGTGCGAGCTGCAGCCTCTGCTGTGTGGCCGTGGTGGCAGCTGCGGTGTCCTCAGGGGACCAGACCTGCCTTGCCAAGTGGGCACTTGAGATTGGTTTTGTTTTGTTTTAAACAAAAGAATACAATGATTGGCAAGGCAAGTCAGCGTCCTAAACCCTGGCTGCCGACCAGCGGCCTTGAACTAGAGGAAAGGAACAGTTCTTCTTCAGGAAACATCCTGGAGAGGAAGGGAAGCCGAGGACAGCTGGGGGTGGGATGGGGGCACTCTGGGGCTCAGTGGTGTCTTTTAAGGAGGGACAATGGTGTGACCCTTGGAGGGCTGTTTGTTGATTTGCCACCACCTTAGGGCATCTGTGGATGACCTAGAGTGGGGCTGCCCTGCTGCCTGCTGTGGGGACCAGGATGAATGAGACATACCTCTTGTGCATGTGTCCGTGTGGAATAATCAAGAACGTAAGCAGGTGTTTTTCCCAGTTCCTGCCACCCAGCTTCAAAAACCCTTGGAATTTCCTGAGTGACAGGAGTGTCTTTGTTATGCTAATGGGGTGACTCAGGCTGGGCCCCCAGAGAGCTTCAGGAGGGAGCTCGTCACCAGAAAGACCAGCCATGTGAGTCTAGGTTGGGACTTTCAGCCAACAGAAGGAGAGGGGGTTGGAGACGGAGCTCAATCATACGGCCAGTGCTCATCACTCATGAAAACTCCAGACCCTGGGGCTCAGTGGCCCTTCCTGGGAGGTGAACACATCAATGTGCCAGGGGGGTGACGCACCTGACCCCACAGGGCGGGGGCACGGAAGCTCTGCCCTCCCTTCCAGATCTTGCCCTGTATGTCTGCGCATTCGGCTGCTCCCGGGTTGTATCCTTTATAGTGAAACTGTAATTGTAAGTACAACACTTTGAGTGAGTTCTGTGAGTCATTCCAGTGAATCATCAAACCTGAGGAGGTCATGGGACCCCGCTACTTTGTAGCCGGCTTCAGAAGTGCAGGTGTCCTGGGGACCCCACTTACCGCTGGCATCTGAAGTGGGGGAAGTCTGTGGGAGGACTGAGCCCTTAACCTGTGGAGTCTGACGCTGTCTCCGGGGGGGTTGGTGTCAGAACTGAATTGCAGTATCTCCAGGTGGTGTCAGCCCAGGTGCGGTGGAAAGGGAACACGTACACAAAAGCATGGTCACATTTGAATTATAGAGACATGATGTGTGCTCGAATATGTCCATGCCCAACAAGAGGGTGTCTGTGCCCACCGAGAGGGGCTTGCCTCTGTGCCCACGCCCGGCCCCACCTGCCTTCCTGCCAGCATCCTAACAGCCCAGCCAGGCTTTGCTGCCGCCCCTCCAGGCTCTACCTCTCTCCTGGCTGTACCTCGGCTCTCCCAGCAGAGAGCGCCCCAATCTCACAAGTCCTCCCACTCGGCCGAGCGTCTTCAGCTCTCCAAGGCAGGGTTGGGGGAAGCACAGAAAATGAAAAGAGCCCCCGAAACTGACGCAGGAAAATCGAATTCTTATTAGGTGCTTGAACGCAATGCCGCTGACTTCAGTGACACGGTCACCCCGGCGGAGCCTGAGCCAGAACTCTCCACCTGCCTGGTTCTGCGAGGGCTGAGCTTGTACAATTTGGGGGCCTCTTTTAAAAAATACGAATTTACAAGTGCAACGTTAGGTATGGAAAGTGGATGTTCATTTAGAAGGAGGGAAAAAATCACAACAAAGGACACATTTTTTAAAAGCTGACAATGGCATAACATCAAGTCCTCCCAGGGCCTCGGAAGGGGCCTCAGGGAGCCAGGCTCCCCACAGCCGGAGCGTCGTCAGCTTCTCCGGAACTCACGTCCGCCGGCATCTCCTCCAACAGCGACCGGACACCTTCCGAATGCAGAGCCTCATTTGCTTCCTGAGCTCATCCTGCCACGGAAACAGGCTGAAAGGACTTAACTCCAAGGGTTGTGCCCTTGTCAGCCGCCCGTCTATTTCTCCACGCCTCTCTCCTCCCGCTGTCCTTGGAGCCGCCAGCAGTCGCAGTCGCCCCACGAACGTGTGAGGGGCGCTGTCTCTCCCTGTCTCTCATGCTCCGGGGCTGCTGCCTCCACCCCCTCTGCCTTTTCTGAGGGCAGGAGTCAGTTCTTGGGTCTTCTCCTTCCTTGATTCGTGGCTCCACAGTGGGTCCTCCATCCACTTGGCTTACTTCAAGACTGTAAATCTCACAGGCCCCAAAAATGCCCTTCTCAAGGGCACTATGATGCAGGAAAAAGTTCTTGAAATTAGTGGGGAAAGAAATTTAGAATGCAAGTCAGGGAGACAGCACGTACATATATTTATACTAAAGCGTAAGTGACTTCAGTTAAATTTAATAACTATAATAAGTGAATCATACAGTATGTCAGAAGACAGTAAGTGCTATGGGGAAAAAAATAGAGCTGAGAAAGGAGGTTCAGGAGGGTCATTGCTGGGCTTGAAGGGGACAGGTTGCAATTTGAAACAGGTGGGAAGGGATATTTGAGCAATGACTTGGAGGTGGTGAGGAAGAGCCATGTGGATATCTGGGGGAAGAGTTTTCTAGGCTGAGCAAAGGCCCCCAGACAGGAACGTGCCTGGTGTGTCCGAGGATCAGTGAGGGGCTGGGG